GCTCTGAGAACGCCAAGATACGGATTCGCATATCCGGGATCTGGATCCAGAAAATACGGGGGTGAAGGGAGGAGAAAGGAGAGCCATGTACACACTCCCAAGATTACAGTCATATATGACTAGCCTGGCGCGTTGTGAAGTGTTTTTCTTCCTCCCGCACACGGACACTCACAGTTTGATTCGCTTCCACATCGGCCCCATAAACAATGAGTTCTAAAGATTGCATACCCTGAAGCTGACGTTACTATGTTCACATACATTTTTTCCTTTTTGATATTTGTCAATGGAGAAAAAGAAATAGATTGTAACCTCATCATCTAATTCGTTATTGTATCGTGTGAAAAAAAAGTCTCTCTTTCCCATCTAATTCAGAAAGAACTTGTAAAGTTGCAAGGAAGGAAGCAATGATATTTTGAGGAATAAAATGTTTAAAGATGGAATAGACCAATAAAAAGCCAACAACTTGATTTTAACGTCGAGTGAGTCTTAATGGAGAGACATATATTTCCACCACACACATTTCTATGCTGCTTCATCGGAATATGTGGAAAATGGTCTAAAAACTGGGGCTAGCATTAGGAAGTCTAAAATAGACCCTCTGAAGTACAACCATTACATACATGGGTAACTTATTCTGATCCACAGAAAACAGCTGAACAATATTTTATTCTGTAGTTCCCTTTCGACTCACTATTGATCATCAATACATGGTAGTGAAAAAAAAATGAATAGATTTGAACTGGGGGAAATAATGAAGACCTATGAATCACTTTGGAAAGATTTGGAGTACAGAGTCATTTGAATCACATCTCCTCTGGGCCTTTCACAGTGGGGCACTTTCTAAACCTGATTTCTTTTATTATTTTTTTTTTCCTGATTTCTTTCAACCTTCAGAACAACACAATTTTATTGTAAGGTGAAAAGAATATGCTGATTTTTCTAGTAATCTTACTCGCCTTCCCTAATACCAATAGTCAGAATATAATCTTGAATGCTGCTTCCTATTTGGACAAAGTAGATTGCTCAAGTAGAAATGGATTTGATTTCTGACTAAAGACATAGTTTAAAATGGCTGGAATGAAGAATATTATACAGTAGTCATTTGAAATGTGTAGAGTTTAATCCCTGTTGGTTTTTTCAAGTTTCCTAAATTGACAGTCAAGGACTGTTTGAGTTTAAGGAGAAAATGATTTCAATGCAAACTATATGTTAAAGTACCTGAGTAATATACATATATACATAGATGATATATACATAAATAACTAATAGCAAACTATGAAGTGACATCCTTAAATTTTCTAAGTATACCCTTTCTTTTCCATTGTTTTCCTGCACATTGTACTTTAAATACTTTTTAAATGAACTATTGGTACGTTTGTGTGACCAATACTGAAAATTTGAAGTCATTTCCACTTGTGAGTCTCACATTTTGTAAGTCACAAGATTATCCATCAAGATCATTTACTTTGAACAAGTATACTTGTTCTGCACTTTGGAAAATGTGTCAGATATTTAAGTTACAAGTCATGCCTACTGGAGAAAAGTGCGTCAGGGAACCCGGGGAATGCGAAGAGCCAACGTGGGCAGAGTCAGTGGCAGGGCAGAAACAGAGGTTTTTGCAGAGATATCTCTGGAAAGGTAAGACATCATGAAGGTGGGTAAACCTGATCTTAATTTAGTTTCTTTGGTTTCTGTGAGCAGAAGGGAAGTTGGGATCTGTTTTCAAAGGGTTGATAGCAGGCTCTTAGGCACGAAGGAGGAAAACCGAGCAAAGCAAATTTAATCCGGGACCTGCGGAATGCATAAATAAAGGTTTCCCAAAGGTTTTCCCATCTCAATCATACAAATTGCACTGCTCTGAGACACAGTGACAAAAACCCAAGAGGCAAGTAGCTGGGGTTTAACTAAATGAAAACAATCAGGAGGGCATGAAGCATCTGGAGGAAGGATCAGACACCAAAAAAAAAAAAAGAATGAGAGGAATTATACTTCTGCTTTCTAATAAGTACCTGTGTTAAATAAGCTTTTTTTTAATGGTAGACATGCACCAAACTGTTAACAGTGATCATCTCTGAAAGTCAGGTTATAGGTTGTGTATATAATATGTGACTTAGACCCGTCAGAGTCCCTGTAGTACTCACCATCGGAAAATAGAGAAGGGGCTTTTTTGGTGTGTAAAAAACGGAATTAAAAGATACTGGAGTATCTCCACAAACTTTGTGAACTCTGTAATATGTATTGAAGCATTTAAAATGCCCACGGGGAAAAGGTACAACGAACAGTTTTTCTGTAGTGTTTCTAGCCATGCTTTTGTAACTCCCACAGAATGATTGTAACTCCCGATCTCCATCTCACAAGAGATTGGTCAGTTTGCTATGTAAGAATTTATAGTCAAGGGCATGAATGAAGTTGTGTCCCCGGACTTACTTGGAACCTACCTGCTTCTACCCTCTACAACATGTGAACCATTTTCTTGACATAACACCTCTCTCTCTCTCTCTCTCTCTCTCTCTCTCTCTCTCTCTATATATATATATATATATATATATATATCCCCTTTCACAATTGACATTATCTTCCCTTGTCACTTAAAAATTTCTAAGAGTTTATGACACTTAGTGGCAGACTGTTTTCCATCTCACCCCCTTCTAAATAGCCTCCCAACCTGTGACTCCCTGCATCTGGCCCTCTGCCAATACCTTGCAGATGCATTTCTTTTCAAATTATGGTCTGGTACACAATGGATGTAAATATTTAATCTTTCTATTTATACATTTTTCCATGTTTATTTTTTAGTTGCCTGCTTGTCCTTGTGCTGTTTATCCTTGTTAAGTACCGCCAGGACTGCAGTATACATCTTAGAGCAAAAGATTCATAGCTATATAAAACAAGCTACAAAATATCTAGTTAAGACACATACTAGTATATATAGAAATTATTTTTTAATGCTTGTTTTATTTATTCTCAGTTTCTTTAATTTTCCTATCACACACATAGATGGTATAGATTACTGAGATAACGTACATAAAGCAATATGAATTTCTAAAGCTAGAAATGCACTAGGGAGTAACTACCAACTAAATACACCCGCGGGCATCAACCATTTCATGGGTATTATGTTTACCTGTGATTAATGGAATGGTTGATGCCCATGGGTGTATGTGTCTTATTCCTATCAGTCTTACGGCTGCTTAGAAGTTTGAAGCACAGCGTATCTGCAAGGACAATGCAAATAGAGCATTCAGTTGAGACTTGTAACAAAGAAACCATAAGCAAGGGAGTTTCTAGCAAAAATTAATGCAGTATCCACTCTTACTAGTTGAATACCTACAAAACATGGTCCTTATTGCTTTATGTTAGTGACTGTAATAAGGGAAGAAAACAAAGAGATATTTTTAAACGTTTTATTGGCATATAATTCACATATCATACAATCATATTAATCATTCAATCATACTAAGAAGGGCGGGGCAATCATCAACACAATCAATTTCAGAGCATTTTTTCCTCTTACCCATTTTCAGAGTTCCATTTTCTCAGCCCACCTCCAACCTCCCCTAACATGCCCCTAGGTAATCTTTTTTCTAATTCCACAACTTCTACTTATAAAATTCCGTGTCACTGATTATACTTTTCATGCTGTACAGCCACTATCAACACACTATTGATAACCTTTTCCAAATTATTCTACCACCATGGACATAAACTCAATAGCCGCTACATGACAACCCTTTTCCCTTCACCTATGATTGCCCTTGGTCAAGTTTTCTTCCTTTTTTTTTTTTAATATGGTTTTCTTGATATAGTACTCACGTATCACATACATCTATGGTTAAATTGCTTTTAAAATGAGTTGTGTAACCAAAATTAGTTCCAGAGCTCCTTTCCCCATCCCCCATCCTTCACTAGAAAAAATATTTATGTATGTGTGTGTGCACATGGGTACCCACACATATACAAATGTAACAAAATAATAAATATTAATAACAATTACAATTCTAGTTTCTGCAGCAGGATCCTAACTGGTATTTAGAACTCCTGTTTTCTACCACCAAGTTCATATTCCCTTTGCCCTCAACAACCACTACAGTTAGTCATGGTCGTTTGCCTAGAGGGTGTTTAAGTCATGTAGTGTTGCTAAAACCTTCCATTACATTAATCTTGACATAGCAAAGACAAGCGATTCCTATGTGTGATTATAACCACTTTGGGGTAGACACAAGTAAACCCACAATATAGGGTGACCTAAACTTGGTTTCCCCTTAGAGTAGCTAGTGAGCTTGAATAGATGACCTTCCAGTTAGCAGTCCAGGATAGCCCAATATGCCAGGGGATATCCATTCAATTTCCCCTTGGTAATCAGGATCACGCACACTGATCTCCATGATTACTCTCTTCTTTGCCTGTTGATCTGGTGGCACAAGGTGTCCTAGTGGCCAGATTCTTTAACTTCTCTTTAACTTTCAGTTCAATGGAATCAATGTTGTATTTACTGGTGGGAATAGTCCTCCCTTTGGAAGCAAAGTCTCTAGAAACACAGAACATAACATCATGAAGACTGGGAGCAAAAACTGTGAGTAAGTTACTTCAGGTAATAGGGAGTGATGCCAGTCACATTTTCACCCTTGGGTTCCTTCACCCATGAATCCTGGATCTTGGGGAAACAGCACCATATGTGACAGGGATTTTAAAATTTCATGGGAAAATGGAGATAAAAGATAACAGAATTTCACCACAAACTTTTTGAAATCCCCTTGTATTAGACACAAGTTTAGAGCACATGCAGCCTCCTAGAGAACAGGGCCCCAACAATGTAAGGTACTGCCACCTAGCTGGTGCTGTGATTGTGTCCCTAAACAGACATTCCAAGGCAATATTGTGTGGGATGCCATGAATAAACCTATGAATGATTGGGAAAAAAGCACTGAGAGCACAGAAGGCAAATATGGATCCAAGGTAAATGGCTATCCCAGTAAGAACAAAATGTTCTCCTTTCCACGATGAAAGTAGTTGAATAATCAAAACATGGAATAGTACAAAATGTGAAACTAGGAAGATTGAAAATAGTCAAAAATGAAATAGAATGCATAAAGATCCATATCCTTTGCATTAGTGACTTGAAATGAACTGGTATTGACCATTTTGGGTAAGATAATCACATGGTTTAGTATGCCAGGATGATGAATACAAGAATGCATCACACTCACCGCCGAAAAGAACATTTCAAAATCTATCTTGACATACAACACTCTCTGTGACGGGATGATATCTATATTTCAGGAGCCCTGATAGCACAGTGGATTACAAATTGGGCTGCGAAGTGCAGGGCCAGTCGTGTAAAACCACCAGCCAGTCCAAAGGAGAACAATGAGGTTGTCTACCAAGTTACCATCTTGGGAACCCCAGGGACTGTTGGACTCCGTCTTTTGGGTCGATATCAGAATCTACTCAGTGGCAGTGAGTTGGGCTTGAGTACAAGAAAGTCCAGTTAATACAACCATTATTCTAATTTATGCATAAACCATGATACCTAGTGATGAAGTAATCGAGGAAGTCCACCAAATTCTTCAATCTGTAATTGAGCAAACAAGCATTCAAGATAAATTGATAGTTTCCACCCCACCCTCTCTCCCCCCTCCTGGTTAATAAAAAAAAAAAAAGATAAATTGATAATGATTAGTGATTGGAATGCAGAAATTGGAAACAAAGAGGGGGGAAAATTGTAAACCATGACCTTGGTGTTAGAAAAGAAGCTGGAGATCAATCACTTGATACAAGTTTGTATGACCAACAAATTCTTCATTGTAAATAATATTTTCCAACAATATAAACAGCAAATATACATATAGACTTCGACAGGTGGAATGCATAAGAATCAAATTGACTCTGTGGGAAGTGATGATAGTAAAGTTCAATCTCATCAGCCAAAATAAGGCTAAAGGCTAACTTTGGAACAGACCATCAATTACTCATAAACAAGTTCAGGTGGAAACTGAAGAAAATTAAGTCCTGTGAGCTAAACCTATGCTCAACCTTGAGTATATCCCATCTGAATGTCAAGGACAGATATGACTCACTGAATTCTAATGAGAGAAGATATGACAAGCTGTTGCATGACATGGTGAACATCAGACACAAAGAAAGCAAAAGGTCATTTAAGAAGACATGCTGGCCTTTAGATTCAGTAAAGAGTTGTGGAGTAAGTCAAATAAATGTGAAAAATTCTTGTTAGGTTTTAGAAAAGTTCTATAATGTTACTTCATAGCAATGTTTCATTTTTTTTAAAGTAACTATCTCTATAGGCAATGTAACTGTGCATAATGTGCTACCTTTTGTGATGATTGTTATATTTTACATTTTTTTGGAAGTGATACAACTTTGCTATCTATAAGAAACATTTATTTAATAGAATACTTCTGTGGGACAGATTTCGAAAGCCTGGGCATCTATAACATGACTCGGATGGAGTCTCCAAAATAAAAAGAGGCAAAAATAACGGTCTATGGTCTTCAGTAAAACAATCTCCTTAGACACAGGGAATCCAGGGCGATGATCCCTTCAGGAGCAGTGGTGTGAGTGGCGATACTGGGAGTGTAGAGGGAGAGCAGGTTGGAAAGGGGGAACCGATTACAAGGATCTACATGTGACCTCCTCCCTGGGGACAGACAACA